TGGCCATCTAGCCTCCTAGACAATAAGGAAATAAATTTGTGTGTTAAAGCCATCTGCTTGTGGTATTTCTGATTTAGCAGCACTAGATAATTAAGACACTGGCCATTTACAGAAAGTGTTTACCAACCCCTGACCTCATTCATAAAAGATCAAGTAGAGAAAAATACTCTTTATTGTTGTTAGTAGTCATCAAGTTGGCTCTAACTTATAGCAACCTCATGTATAACAGTATGAAATATTGCTCAGTCCTGTGCCTTCTTCATGATTGTTGCTATATTTGAGTCCATGTTTCAGCCATCTCATTTATATCATGTACTAAGTTCTTATGGTTTGTCTCTGGGTCTTCTGTTCTATTATGTTGCTCTGTCTGCCTTTTTTTGGGTGCCAGTCATTTTAAATGATTGAAGTTTTATAATACATTTTAATGTGTGCTGATGTTCCTCCTACACACACAGTTTACTTCACTGAGGTTGGCTCTTTCATACCTAATTGACTCAATCTCTTATACTCTGAAATGATGCAGTGCACACACACACACACACACACACACACACACATCACCATTGTTAGCTCAATGATCTCCATTCTCAGCTGTAGTGTAAGGGGTTTAACTATTGGGAATTTGAGGATGTAATGTGCCCCTCTAGTTCCCCACTACCACTGAGAATTGTGTCTCTTAGAACTTGGAGGAGTGAAAGAACCAAAACCAAACCTATTGCCATCGAGTTGAGTCAATTCCAACCCATAGCGACCCTAGAGGACAGAGTAGAACTGCCCCATAGGGTTTCCAAGGAGTGGCTGGTGGATTTGAACTGCTTACGTTTTGGTTAGCAGCCGTATCACTTTAACCACTGTGTTACCAAGGCTCCATTGGAGGAGTGGAGATAGTAGTAAAAGGCTGGCATCCCAGTTTTTAGTTGGACTGACCATGGGTCTCTGAACCAGGCACAAGGGAGTAAGGCAGGGAAAAATCATATCAGTTCAGGCTGGGTAGGTTTGCTCTGTTTCAAGAGGCAAAGGTATATTAGGCATCAATTTTGATTCTTTGTTCTGCTCCATAGATCTCTTTTTACATTCTGACATTAAGTTCACCAATATCAGTTTTTAGCATTACAAACTTTTACGTATATATTTTGGTATGTCATGTGTATTTAGCTGGGAGAGGCTGCATATGGGACCAATAGTCCTCAAACAAAACAAAACAAACAAAAAACAAATTCATTGCCTTCAAGTTGATTCAGACTCACAGTGACCCTACAGGACAGAACAGAAGTGCCCCATGGGGTTTCCAAGGCTATAATCGTTATGGAAGCAAGCTGCCACATCTTTCTCCTGCAGAGCAGCTGGTGGGCTCAAACCATCAACCTTTGAGTTAGCAGCCAAGCACTTAACCACTATGTCACCAGGCCTCCAGTAGTCCAAAAAGTAAGCTTTAATCCAAAATGTCCAGTAGAATTAAAAAAAAATTTTATCCTGGGTTTTTGGTTAAGGCTACAACATAATCAAGACCAAGAGACTGAGAATATTTGAACATAACTTGGCCCAAAGTAGGCATCTAATAGATATCTTTTGGACTGAATATAAATGTGGTCCTATATAACCAGTACTATTAGTTTAGGGTTTCTACAAGACAATGTAGAAGAAACCTCAATAAATTGGACCAACTGAGTCACTCAATTCTCTCATTGTTCTGTAGACATCATACAATTGTTCTCAGTTCTGGCAAGGTAACCAATATTCCATCCTCCACACATGCCACCATACTTCTGATGGTAAATTTCTCTGTTGAAAAGATTTGCTTCCCCTTCTCTCTGGTACCCCATGCCCGTGAGTCCATAACATCTGTCCCACAATACATGCCTTCCAGAAAAATGTTCCTAATTAACTCACATGCTCATCCTGCCCATGCTCAGTGCCCTGAAAAGGTATGTATTTAGCTTCTGGCACATTAATCTGCTGTTATTAACATGGTCCTCTTAAAAGATGAATTTATAAAATTTCAATGTGTATGCATGCTCTGACTGTTCATAACTGGAAGCCAACAGAAGGCAGCACCTCCTTCCCTCCAGACAAAAATATCTGCTACAATGCTCTGCACACAATAACAATGAACGTTGCTCATCAACTAAAGTACAGATGAATGCTAGTATCATTTTAAGCTAAGATTACTGAGGAAGTTTTCTTTGGGATGTTAATTTATGGTAATGTAAGGAAAATCAAACAACTTTTGTTTGTTGTTAAGCGATTTTGCCCTTTAGCAATTCATTATAATATGAACCTCTTTGCCATCTGGGTATTTGTGGCAATCAGGTGGGGATTCAGAACCTCCCTCCAACAGAAATATGAGGGAAACTGCCAGCATGAATTAATTATCAGCCAACCAGGAAAAGACTAGAGGGCAAAATTATTATTCTTAAGCAGAGGCAAAATGCAAAACAGATTGGACTTTAAAATTTGGTAATTTCATAGTTAAAGTACTAAAGAAGTGCTAACGGTTTGAAATGGAAATGAAAAGAAATTAAAATACCCTAAGAAAGTCATTGAAATGGAAAAGAAAGCAGTTTCTAGTATTAAGCAAAACTGAGATGAAGACTACCTGCTCCACTGGGTCAACTAAGATCATTTTATTAGGGGATGACATTCTCCATTGTACACCCATGGCTAATATCATTGATTGATCACAGAAGGACCTTTTCCTGTCTTTCCATACAGGGGTGCAGAATCCTTCTCAGATATCCACTAGCACAGATTTAACTTGTCACATGTGATAGTCTGGGTTCAGAGAACATTCACGTCCCTCCCCTTCTCTTTACAGGTAGAGTGTATTTCCTTACATCACTCATGTTGCGTTGGTCATACGACTTGCTATAACCAATGGAACGTGATGTGAACAGATGCCTTTAATGTGCTTGTGTGATTTGACTCTTATGCTGTGGTGGTCTACTATGAAATGAGCATATGTCAGGTAGCCACTGCCCATTTAGCCTGGGCCTCATAACAAATGCACATGGAGTATACCTGAACCCAACCCACAGCCTGAGCAAAACCAGGAGCGTAAAATGAATTCTTGTTGTAAGCTGCTGAGTTTTAGGGTGATTTGTAACAGCATAAATCTGAAAAACTAACTAATAGAGCATGTTACAGGCCTAAAAACTAGTAGAGTACAGGAAAATGACTAGGATACAGTAGGCACATCTTAATAAGTCTCCAGTAATAAGGAATAAATAGCTGTGTTGGAAGATTGAATTATACTCTTAAAATTTTCAGATTTGGACTTACCCAATAAAAGAATTTAAATCTCTTAGTCTACAGATTAGGACAATGATGTTGACAGAAATTAAATAGTTTGGCAGAATCAGATGTCAATTGAAGTCTCTTAATTATTAATATCATACTCTTTTTGCAGAAAACAATCATGTGTGCTTCTAGGAGGGCTGCAGGCCTGGCATTTGGGACCAGGGAGGACTGTGCTGCCAAGTGGTGACCAGTCCCTCTGCTGGCTGCTGGGCTCCCAGACTTCCCAGTATGGGGTCAATGACTTTGTCCCCAGACAGCTCATCTTTGGGGATTCTAACAAAGACCAAGCACTCAGTCTGAGGCTGAGGTTGTAGCTCAGAAACCTGATGAAGCAAAATTCCACGAGGCATAAAGGACATAGAAATAAGAAAAGAAAGCCTCAGCAATCAATCAATCAAGCTTCAGCAACCATTTCTAAGTTGGAAAACAATCTGGGCCACCTATTCCTCAGGAAAGAGCCAAGGAAGCTGGAGATTTCAGATCTCAATTCTTCAGCCAAGGTTGATCCAACTCCAGCAGAGTAAGCTGCTGCCTCCAGATGTGATTTCAGGGCCTTTAGGAAGACCACTTCCGTCCTCCATCAGGTTAAAGTTCAAATTAATCATCTTCTTTGGCTCAATGCTCACTGGCACTAAGCAAAATTAGAGCTCCATGTTACTGAAATGTCAGTGGATAAAACTCTAATATCTTGCTTCTTAGCACCTATCATAGTGCTTAGCACACAAGAAGCCCTCAATATTTTTCAAATGAAGGAGTGGACAAACACATAAATGAATGTTAAATTCTTATGTAGCCATTGATCTGACTTAGAGGTTTATGTTACAGTTTACTAGCTAACAAAGGAGTTATAAATAAGCAAAAACATAAATAGTAGTAAGGTCAAGTTTAAATACTGATAATTTCTCATTCATTACATAATTACATTTAACAAATATTAATACTGAATGACTGCTATGTTCAAGAACTGTATGATTTGCCATAGACAGAAGCCAGTTCCAGTTGGCATTGAGTTGATTCTGACTCATGGCAGCTCCATGTGTGTCAGAGTAGAACCATGCTCCATAGGGTTTTCAATGGATGCCATTTTGGAAATAGATCACCAGACCTCTCTTCCAAGGTACCTCTGGATAGACTCGAGCCTCCAACCTTTTGGTTAGTGGCTGAGCATGTTAACTTTTTCCACCACACAGGGGCCTCATAGATGAAATATCAAATCAAATAATGAAGTTTCTGCTTTCATGGAGCCTATGGTAGTTTAAAGAGGGAGAAAGAGGTTAAACACACACACACACACACACACACACACACACAAACATACATAAACAGGCACAGAAATGTGTAATAACTAAGGAAAAGAATAAGGAGCCATACAAGAGGTGAGAGTAGGTATACATTTTAGATTAGAGCACCAAGAAAGATCCCTCAAGGAAACATTTCTGAAAGGTCCCACTGTCCTGTGTAAACTGGAAAATAAACAAACACAGATAAATATCTTTTTTCACAGAACTCTGTATGTGAAATGCAGCAGTTGACTGAGAAAACCATGTGTATGTGCAGTGAGCTGAGTACTCTGTTTTAACAGCTAGGCTTAGGTACTTCCCATTGCCCCTGGAGGCTCCCCAAAGCATTATTCTCTCTAACCTAAAAGCCAACACACCCATACAAATCACCACAGTTAAACCTCTGAAACTTGATCACATATTACAAATATCAGCTTTTTATAAAACGCCTACGTGGCATCCAAACATACCATGCAAATAATCTGTATATGAAGATAAAAGATCCACAGCAGCAAATTCTGGGAAATTTGGTAATGTCACCTGGTTAACTTTATCAGTTTTAGCATTCTTCTTTCCAATAAGCAGATTAATTGCCAGCACAGCTTCACTGACCTACAATTGATGCAGAAATAAGAATTTATAAGTGTAAGATTTCTGATTCATAAGTTATGCATTAGGTAAATAATATGAAAAAGTGGAATTCATAAGATTATATTCAATATACTTTGGAAGAAAAAAATTAAAGACAACCTGAAAAACAATATGTGATTCCCCGACATGTGGTATACATCATAGTCAAACAAATCATTACTGTTGACAATTTAATTAATGCATAAGTCACTTTAAATAGGCTACCTTACCTAGCTATGACAGATCTTTGCCAAAATGTCAAATATGCGCACATGTGTATCTGGTAATATTTTCATTTAAAAAAAGCTGAAACAAACACAGGTCTGGCTAACAGATTAAAAACACCTCACACATAAAGTGTGTTTATAACCCTTCCAAAGAAATATCATTGGCACGTATCCCGAAGAATGTGAAATTTTCCCTTTTCTTGTATAGATGTATTGCGTTGCCCTGACAGCTGGTAGGCAGAGAATACAAATATGACAGTGAAAAATAAGATTCAAAAAAATCACACCAACCTGTGCAGCAGCTCTTATTGCAATCCAGGCCAATGAATTGTACGTTTCAAATTTATTTAATGCTGTGTCTTTAATAGAACTCTGCCTTCTGGAAGAAGCCTAAACACACAGTAAAAGGTTTAAGTAATGACAGGTAAAAATATCATAAAGGTTTATGATAAATTTTCTTATCTTCTAAAGATAATGGAATATTGTAGAGCTATTAAGAATAATGATGCAACTATTGACATGAAAAGAGGTTCAAAATATATTGTGGAAAGAAAAGGTTACAAAGTAATATGCAAAGTATGATCCTAGTTTTTAAGAAAATATATACACATATATTACCTATAAATACAAGCAGAGAAAATTATTAACAGTGGTTATCCCTAGATTTTAAGAGTGATTAAATTATTTTTATCTTTTTTTATAAGCCTGCATTATTTGTGTAATAAGTAAATACATAAAAATGGTATTTTAATAAAAGTCAAATGTAATTTTAATAAAAGATCTGTAAATTGAATTTATTGTGTTTAAAGAGGTCAGAAATCAGAATATTACCTAATGATTTTTGATAGGTATTGGCCACTTTGAATCAGGCAATCATAGGGTCTACTTTGCCAGGAATGACACGTTGGAGAGGAATGGCATTGCATTCTTCATGAAAAAGAACATTTCAAGATCTATCCTGAAGTACAATGCTGTCAGTGATAGGATAATATCCACACGCCTACAAGGAAGACCAGTTAATACTACTATTACTCAAATTTACCCACCAACCACTAATGCCAAACATGAAGAAACTGAAGATTTTTACCAACTTCTGTAGTCTGGAATTGATCAAACATGCAATCAGGATGCACTGATAATTACTGGCGATTGAGAATGTGAAAGTTGGAAACAAAAAAGAAGGATCAGTAGTTGGAAAATATGGCCTAGGTGACAGAAACAACGCCAGAGATCTCATGATAGAATTTTGCAGGACCAATGATTTATTCACTGCAAATACATTTTTTCATCGACTGTATACATGGATCTCACTGGATGGAATACATAGGAATCAAATTGACTACATCTGGGCTCAATATCATCAGTCAGAACAAGGCCTGGGGCCAAATGTGGAAAAGACCATCAATTGCTCATATGCAAGTTCAAGCTGAAGCTGAATGAAAAGTAAAACAAGTCCAAGAGAGCCAAAGTATGACCTTGAGTATATCCCACCTGAATTTAGAAACCCTCTCAAGAATAGATTTTAAGAAACTATGGCCCCTGAACAACCTGCTAACTCAGAACTAAAGCCACTCCTGAAGTCCACCTTTCAGCGAAACATTATACAGGCGTATAAGACAAATAATAATACACATGAGGAACGTGCTTTTTAGTTCAATCAAGTATAGGAGACCTAATGGGAACATCTGCCCAAAAGCAAAGAAAGCAGGAAGGGACAGGAAACCTGGAGGAATGGACATGAGCAACCTGAGGTGTAAAGGGAAAGAGGGAGAATGCTGACACATCGTGGGGATTGCAACCAATGTCACAAAAAAAATTGTGTATAAATTTTTGAATGAGAAACTAATTTGCACTGTAAACTTTCACCTAAAACACAATAATCATAAAAAAAAGAATGGATTTCACGCATTGAACACTAACGACCAAAGACCAGACAAGCTGTGGAATGACATTAGGACATCATACATGAAGAAAGTAAGAGATCAGAGACTCCGGCAAGATGGCGCTCTAGGCAGAAGCACCACGCCGTCCCTCCACAACAAAGATCCGAAAAACTAAGCCAAACAGAGAATCAACAATCCTGAAACCCTAGAACATCA